TTTAAAGAGAAGTTAGATAAAGTCATGGAGGTTGGGTCCATGGAGTGCTATTAGCCAGGGGGTAGAAATGGTGTCCCTGGCCTCTGTTTGTGGAAGTCTGGAGATGGATGGCACGAGACAAATGGCTTGGTCATTGTCTTCGGTCCATCCTCTCCAGGGTACCTAGTGTTGGCCGCTGTCGGCAGACAGGCTACTGGGCTAGATGGACCTTTGGTCTGACCCAGTATGGCCATTCTTATATTCTTATGTTCTAAACTCAGGGCTCAGGGTCGGGTGTCTCACTGGACCACCTTGATTTTTATGCAAACCTGCTCCTGGCTTTGCATGTGGCCTTTGGTGGCCAGGCTTGCAGCTATCCTGCCCCAGATGGTCACTTTCCTGTGCCTTGTGCGGAGGTCGTGGACATTGGAGGCCTCCCCCCAAACTGGATGAGGTCCACAATCTCTGCAGTAGACAAGGCGGACGCCCGCCTCTTGCGGCCCCGGAAAGGCTCCTGGGAGCCGCCAGCCTTGTTACTGGGAAGAGGCTGTCTCATGCTGTGCCAGGTGCAGGGTCTTCTGGCTGGGTGCTGGTAGGCTTGTAGCTGGCACGGGCACCATAGCCAGACCGTGCCCCTTTAAGGGCTACGGGGCCGAGAGGGGGACAGAAGAATTTCCCTGGTTGTGCCCAGAGTGGCCACCAGGGCAAGCTGGGAAGGGCTAGCCTCCAACTAGTTCGAATTAAGTGGCTACACAGCCCTTAATTCGAACTACTTAATTCGAAGTAGGCGTTAGTCCTCATAGAATGAGGTTTACCTAGTTCGAATTAACTCCTCCGCTAGTTCAAATTAAGTTCGAACTAGCAGTTTGTATGTGTAGCACCTATGAAAGTTAATTCAAACTAACAGCTGTTAGTTCGAATTAATTTTGTGGTGTAGACATACCCTAACAGGCCTGGCAGACTCTGTATGCTGAACACAGTGCTTTCATGAGATTATCCATAAAGGGTCAAAGCAGAGGTATTTAATAGAAAATTGTCATACTGATTCTCATAATCATTGTGAGATGTATGTACAGATGATACTTAAGGAATTGTGTTATATGTACTGAAAATGTTTAAAATCTGCACGTAGGGCACATAGGACAAACAGGTTTTGGATCCGACAAAGGAGAGGCAGAATGGGCACAGGGTCTGGAGTGGAGTGTGGGGAAATGTTGCACCCTACAGCCCCTTAGGGAAGGTGCTGAGTGTTGACTCAGGGTTTGCATTTCATATTTTTTTCTTTTTTGTATATATATCTTATGTAATAGAATCATAAGGATGGAAGAGACCTCAGGAGATCATTGAGTCTAGCCCTCAGCCCAAAGCAGGACCAACCCTAACTAAATTATCCCAGCCAGGGCTTTATCAAGCCAGGAATTAAAAACCTCTAGAGATGGAGATTCTTCCACCTGCCTAGGTAATCCATTCCAGTGCTTCACCACCCTCCTAGTGAAATAGTTTTTCCTAATATGCAACCTGGACAACCCCCATTTGAATGAGGTTTACAGAGACTTAGGAATAGTGAGCCCATTATATTTTGAGAGAACAGCTGTGCTCAAAAGACACACATACTTCCAGTATCCTGAAATGGCTCTGCAGTGTAGACATAGCCTTAGTGTCCAGTGCTAAAAGTCTAGAAACTGCTAGGAGCACTCCAAGCACTCAGGGTTGGTGTGTGCCTATCGCTAGCAGAAAAAGTAAAGTCTGCAGAGACCTGGATGGCAGAACTTGTGCAGCCAGAGGTAGTTGATTTCAGTTGAGCTACAGAAGGCACAGAAAATAATGCATGGTGCTAAAGGAATGTAGTGGTAAGGTGTCACAGAATTCTGGGTATCCCTGAGGTGCTTTGCAAGAATATAACTGCAACAAATGTGAGTTCCTGGTGAGTGGTCAGAGGAAATGTAGGACGGATGAATGTGGAAAGTGGGTTCTGCTAACTGGGTAAATTTTCTCCAATAAGTTGCAACAGACACAAAATAATGTACATCACACTGTAAATGTTGCACTTGCTTTTTT